AACACGAGGGAAACAAAGTAAAAAAATAGTAAGGTAAAAACTCAATATCACAAAGTGTTAGAGAAGGGTTGCAGTTACAGAGTAGTGTCAGCTGCTTGAAATACAGTCACTCCACAATGGACACATTTGCTATATTGTGGATTAGGCTTAATCCGCTTATATTTTGCCTTCCCTGGTTTCTCTCTCCCTCTCACCAACACGCTAATGAAATAATTAAATAAAAAGTTTCTATTTTCTTTTACAAAGAGCTTTATTGAATATTAAGCAAAGATAAACAAATATTCGGAACATAGATTCAATGACCAACAATTAGAAATTGTAGTGGGTGAGGGGAAGCTAGTTCAAGGCATGCACTGGAAAAGGCATAAGCTGAAAAGTTTACATAGGTGCCCTGTAGGAAAAGATGGGGGAAGGGGTTGGGAGAGAACGATTAACAAACCTTTGTGGGTCAATGATAATATAAACTCTAAAGGGGAGTTTTGCTACATCAACATTATAGAGAACGGGAGAGGCACGGGAAGAGGCCTTCTCCAAAAAATGGTACATGTCCAAAACCTAGAGTTTACAAAGAAATCCAGATTGCATTGGTAGTATTGCAGATGTAGCGCATAAAACAGCAAGCACAATCTGAAAAATATGTTTAAGGACAGATTTGACAGGAGGTTAGGAAAAGACAAACAGTAGAGAGACACGGACAAACAACAACACCAAAAAAAAAAAAAAAAAAAAGGGGGGGGGGGGGCTCCGAGGCGATCACAGCGAAATCCATCCTCATATCGACAGAAGGGACTGGTCAAATCTCGAAGGTTGAGATATATCCAGCCAGGGACGCCATATCTGCAGAAATTTTGTATGGGTATCCAACAATATGGCCGTCAGTTTTTCATTAACCATTATGAAGTTCATTCGGTTTTTGACGGCCTCAAAACTAAGGAGAGGAGTTTTCCAAGCTCTCGCAATTGTCAATTTAGTTGCCATAAATAAGTATGATGCCAGCTGCCGTTCAGAACGGAGGAGGCCCTCCAGCGGTTTAAATAGAAGCGCATCATACGGGTTACGCTTAATGTCTGCGTGAAGGATAGTGCGGAGGAGGGCATACACTCTAATCCATAATCTGCTTACTTTAGGGCAAGTCCACCAGATATGAGCCATAGTACCCAATTGTTGGCATCCCCGAAAACAGACCGGGGAATATGTAGGGATAAAACTAGCTAGACGAGCAGGCGTATAATACCATCGGTATAGAATTTTGTAGGCATTCTCAAGAATAATGACATTCCTAGAACATTTAGATAGTGCTTGGGTCATGTTCTGCCAGTCCTGTTGATCCAAGGTCCCCCCTAATTCAGACTGCCAACGCTGATGATAGGAGCGAACCAGAGGGGTTCTATAAGATATAATGGAAGAATAAATCAAGGAAATCAAACCCGGGGCATGAGGTCTATGTCTGCACTGGCTTTCAAAGGGGGACAGATGATAAGGTCCCGGATGCGTGCGTATTAGTGTATTAATAAAGTGACGAAGTTGAAGATAACCAAAATGTTCTCGGAGAGGGATGTTATAAGAAGAACGCAGAGCGTCAAAGGTAATTATTCTAGTGGGAGATAGGAGTGAGTGAACATCATAAAAAACATGCGTCTGCCACCAGGCAAACTGTCTAGGATTATCCCTACCCGGAGGGAATAATGGGTTATGCAATAGACGTAACAGCGGCAGGTGAGGAGAGATAAGGCCAGCGGAATATTTGATAGAATCCCAGAGACGTAGCGAAAGCGTCAGCGTTGGACTAAGGGTAGATGGACGTTGAGAGATAGGAAGCCATGGCAAGGAGGAGAGTGGTATCGGGTGAGAGTCCATCATATCTACAACAGCCCACAGGGGGAAGTGGTGAGATGCATGAACATGAGCTAAGGGGGCAATGTTAGCCGCCACATAGTAAGACTGGAGATTTGGAACAGATAACCCGCCCATACTCCGTCGTGCGAATAAGATATGTTTGCTAATTCTGGGTCGAGAAGAGCTCCAAATAAAGGACAGAAGTTTTCGCTGATGGATACGCAATATATGCAAAGGTACTGGAACTGGCAAAACACGAAATAGATATAGTAGTTTAGGAAGATAGGTCATGCGGATTGCGTTAATTCTGCCGAACCATGGAAGCGGGAAATGAGACCAAGAGGACAATAGCTCTGTCAACTCGTGAAAGACAGTGGGAAAGTTAGCCTGATACTGTAAGGGACCGCCCGGCGGTACCACTAGCACTCCACTAAATAGGTGTTTCCAGAGCACGGAGTCTAAGTCCCAGGGGGCTTGTTCACCAGGGCACCTGATGGTGGGGATGGACTTGGAGCCCCCCGAGACCAGGTCGTGGCTACTGGGCAAACCCGTTAGTGGTAGTGGTATTCGCCGAGGGCTCCTGCGGGGAAGAGCCTGATATGAGGAGGTAGGAGACCCCACTGGGAGGGATGGACGGATGGATGGATGGATGGCTGAGCAGGTGCAGGGTCAGACAAGCCGGGTCGGTAACAGGGAGGACGGTATGGTACAAGGCAGCGGGCAGAGAATAGTCGGGTCACACGCCAGGTCAGCAACAGCAGGTCAGATCCAATAGGGGGCATTCAAGAGAGAGGTCAGGCAAAGCAAGGGTCAGGAGAAATACAGCAAGGTCAAGCACAATCCGGGTCAGCAACTTACTATTCACAGGTTCGCAGATACAGGATACAGGTAAGACCAGAAGGCACTGAATGACAGCTCAGGGCCATTTAAATATCCCGCCCTGCGCTGCCATTGGTGCCCAGCGGGTGGCCGCGGCTTCTACTGCGCATATGCGCGCGAACTCGAACGCCGCGGCCGGCCCGGACCTAATGCTCGAGTCCCAGCACAGGGCGGCACACTGCGCCTGCGCCGGGACCAACGCGGCGGAGACCGAGAGGATCCCTGACAGATACAGTCCATCATATGTCGGGGTAAGCTTAATTCCTAGATATGGTAAGGCCGAAAGCCATTGAAAAGGGAACGTTTGCTTCAAAGTAGTCAAGAGTGATGGTGGGAGGGTAACTGACATAGCTCTTGATTTAGCTGGGTTGACACATAAGCCTGAAAGGGTTGCAAAGGAATAGAGAACCGCGAGCAAATTGGGCAAAGTAACCCCCGGGTTCGAGATTGACAATAGTATGTCATCTGCAAACAAAGACAATTTATGTTGGGAGCCTGCCACATCAATCCCCTTAATATCAGGATGTAAACGAATGGCTTCTGCCAATGGTTCCAAGGCTAGGATAAAAAGTAAAGGGGAAAGTGGGCAGCCTTGTCTAGTGCCTCTGGCAACCAAGAACGTAGAGGACTCAAATCCATAGTATTTAAGCTTCGCTTGAGGGGATGTGTATAGCAAAGAGATCCATCGTAGGAAGGAAGGGCCAAAGCGGTGAAGGACCGTTAGGAGATACGGCCAGGATAGAGTGTCGAAGGCCTTATTGATGTCTAAGGATAAAAAGTTTCTATTTTTATTACAGACCTTATTTTAGTCCAATTTGTATCATCCCTGGGTCTCTGTGTTTCTATATGTAATGCAGGCAGCTCACGGCTGGTGGGAGAGACCAGCAGGGTGCTACACATAGCTTTCTGAAAATATCACCACACCCTGCCTCAGTACTCCTCTTAAGATCTTTCAGCCTTTATGCCAGTAGTGAGCTGGCTTTTGGGAAGAGTAATGCAAAAAACAAAATGTCTTGATGGGTGGGTATCAGTCTGGAGGAGTGGGTGTTCCTAGACAGACTGTATTTGACTGCAGACCACCCTAGGTACGGCCCACATATGATGCCAAGCCTTCACAATTAAGAGAACTGATATCCAATGAATGAAATAAGGCAGACCAAGGACAGTAAGAAATACGAAGCTCGTAGTAATCAGTGAAATCAGAAAAATGTATAGTATGCCTCCTGCGCTATTATGTCCCCTATCACTAAGCAGCTAGCACTTAGAATGCCACAACCCAGGCACACAATACAATGTAATGAAATATCTAATAGATATTGCAGCGCTAATATATGTGTATTAGTATTCTACTATTTTTAGCGCTGCACTATCTATTAGATATTTCATTACAGTGAAATCAGAGTGTAAACTTTCTGTACACAAGAGAAATTTGTACAACTGTGGAAGACTGAAGGTAAGGCTGGAGTTCAGCTTAAATCTTTTTTTTAACTCGATATGAAATTATTTCCCCTTACTGTGTTCACAAGTAAAATATATGTATATCTGTATATATATTTACCTCAGGTCACCATTACAAAGAAAAATAAGCATGAAAAACTTGACTGCATTCATTTGCATATGTTTTTGTATTTTCTAGAAATATACACATCTGTAAAATGATCTAAATGAGAAGATTAAGGGGGGGGGGGGGGGGGTATGATCAACATGTATAAATACATCAGTGGTTCATATAGTGAACTCGGTGTAGAGCTATTCACCCTGAGGTCATCACAGAGGATAAAGGGACACTCCTTACATCTGGAGGAAAAAAAATTTAATCTCCAAACACAGAAAGGTTTCTTCACAGTAAGAGCTGTGAAAATGTGTTCTAGACTCCCTCAAGAGTTGGTTCTGGCCAGCTCAGTGGATTGCTTTAAAAAAGGCCTGGATTCTTTCTTGGATACACAGAATATAACTGGATGCTAACATTTATAGGTAAAATTGATCCAGCGAATATCCGATTGCCTCTCCAGGGATCAGGAAGGAATTTTTTTCCCTGCAGGAGCAAATTGGATCGTGCTTTGCTGGGTTATTTTGCATTCCTCTGGATCAACTGTGGGTGTAGGATTATAACTTTTTATTTATTTTTTTTACTAATGCTTGAACTGGATGGACTTTTTTCAGCCAGACTAACAATGTAAAAATAATATACAAAATTCCGCTTTTTATTACATAAGTAACGCAGTCAACCAAGATATGTGTTTTGTGGAGACAGATAGACTTGATTGCTCTTATTTCTGTTCTAGATACTGGATTTTAGAATTTCCTGCTGAGTTTAATTTGGATCTGGGATTGATAAGGTTGATGGAAGAATTTAGAGAACTGGCAAGCCAACTAGGACATGAAGAACACATTAATCTTATAGATATCTCCAGCATGTGAGTCCATTGGTTATGATTTTTTCTTCTTCTTGTATTAGCAAAAAATGAACTCTGTAAGAAAAAGGAGCCCTTCTGTGTTTTCAGTGGGATAATTTGTGTGATGTGTTGGTTTACACTTAGAAATAGACATTTTAAACTACTTTCTTTCATGTTGACAGTGGGAAGAAAATAGATATAATTTGTTATTATGGGCAATAGAGATTGTAATCAGGTCATAGCATGATTATGTTCTTCATTAGATGACCCACAGCTAGACTTACATGGCCAAAATGTCCATGTGTATTTGGAATTGGGACATATAGGGGCTGATTTACTAAAGACAAAAAAACCTGTTTGTTATTGGATAATTTTTTATGCATTTGGTGGCAATGCTCTTCTCTAACCCATTTCTGCTCAGAAGTTTACATTCTCATTGCTCATATTGCCACAAATACAATAGGCTTCACCCCATTGCAATATCTCCTACACCACCCCTGCACAAACAGTACTGTACATACTTACATTAGGCCTCATGCACACAGGCAGGAAAAAATGCTGCTTTTAAAAGCAATTTTCTTCTTGTCTCTGAATGTAGTTTTATATTAGCCAAAGTGTCCATGCACTATATAGAGCTTAGATTCATATTTTTGAGCAGTGTTTAGGGACAGTCAATAATGCCCCATACCTGAATTTTGAGAGAAGCCTACTTGCATAATTTACACATATAAGTGCATAAATGCACATGTATGCATGTAGTTTCTGTCTAGTGGCTAGAATAAAAGAATATTCTAGCCACTGTGCCTTATCTATATGTGCCAGGCAGAGCATAATTTACAGTGGACTTTTCTGCCACCTTTGCAATTAACAACAGAGGGAGTTATTTTATGTACTATTCATTGGATAAAAGTTGTATAGAAAAGGTTTTTTTCTGAAAATTTTCCCTGAAGGTGAACTTACACTTTTTAGATGAATTCCAGGATTTCAGCAACTTTGTAAAACATGCAGGCATACCATGAGCGAGTCCTATGAGGTGTCACCTCCTGGATTTAGCTCTATTATTTATATCTGACAGGTTTATGGCACTTCTGGATAATACATTCGGGACTCTGAGAGGAGTAAAGCACACACAGCAGCTGTGCCCACCCCTCCCTTCTGCTGCCCATTCGCAGAAGCCTTTGTATTTTATGAATGCGTTCACATAATACAAAGGCTTCTGTGATTAGGCAGCAGGAGGGGAGAGGTGGGTATAGCAGATGCACTGACTCTACACTTGAAGGAGCAGAGACCAGAGTGTCTAGTGTCAGAGCTCAGGAAACCATATTCCTGGAGCACTACAAAACCTGTGAAATGTAAATTAAAGAGATAAGTCCACAAGGTGGCATGCACCTCATATGATACTTGCGGCTGAGGAGTTCAGTTTAAATTTAAAAAAAACACTTCAATACTGCAAAGTTTTTTTTAGGTGAAACAGTAACACAAGTGGCATAAGAAAAGGAATATCAAGGATAATTTGTATTAAAACACCAAAAAAGTTTAGCAGTGCACTCATATTAAAAAATGTAAATGATGATATACTGTATAACGCGATATTGAGCACTTCCACCAATATAAATGCAAACAGATAATATTAAATTGCACCCGCTGACATATACACCAAATAAAATTATAAAAGTATAAAACAATATAAAAGAAACCAATCCATTACACATATAAGTGCATAAATGCACATGTATGCAAGTTTCTGTCTAGTGGCTAGAATAAAAGAATATTCTAGCCACTGTGCCTTATCTATATGTGCCAGGCAGAGCATAATTTACAGTGGACTTTTCTGCCACCTTTGCAATTAACAACAGAGGGAGTTATTTTATGTACTATTCATTGGATAAAAAGTTGTATAGAAAAGGTTTTTCTGAAAATTTTCCTGAAGGTGAACTTACACTTTTTAGATGAATTCCAGGATTTCAGCAACTTTGTAAAACATGCAGGCATACCATGAGCGAGTCCTATGAGGTGTCACCTCCTGGATTTAGCTCTATTATTTATATCTGACAGGTTTATGGCACTTCTGGATAATACATTCGGGACTCTGAGAGGAGTAAAGCACACACACAGCTGTGCCCACCCCTCCCTTCTGCTGCCCATTCGCAGAAGCCTTTGTATTTTATGAATGCGTTCACATAATACAAAGGCTTCTGTGATTAGGCAGCAGGAGGGGAGGTGGGTATAGCAGATGCACTGACTCTACACTTGAAGGAGCAGAGACCAGAGTGTCTAGTGTCAGAGCTCAGGAAACCATATTCCTGGAGCACTACAAAACCTGTGAAATGTAAATTAAAGAGATAAGTCCACAAGGTGGCATGCACCTCATATGATACTTGCGCTGAATTCCTGGAGTTCAGTTTAAATTAAAAAAAAAAACACTTCCAATACTGCAAAAGTTTTTTGGTGAACAATAACACAAGTGGCATAAGAAAAGGAATATCAAGGATATTTGTATTAAAACACCAAAAAAGTTTAGCAGGTGCACTCATATTAAAAAATGTAAATGATGAATATACTGTATAACGCGATATGCCTAGCACTTCACCAATATAAAAGTGAGAAACAGATAATATTAAATTGCACCCGCTGATATAAATATATACACCAAATAAAATTATAAAATAAAACAATAAAAAGAAACCAAACACAAAGTTATTGAACTTTCTCAAAAGTTCTCAAATAGTCCACTTTCAGTGTGCATTCTTAAATTTCATGCACTAAATGCTCCAAATCATTTGTGATTTATATGAGGGGCATTCAAGTCAAACTGGGACTTTTAATTTTACAGGTATAAAAAGAGATGCTAGCGTGGCGGTACTACATACATTAGTAAATGGCAAAGGTGTCCTGTTACTGATTGGCTGCACACGTGTCGCAGGCCAATCCACAGACTGTTAATCAAGATGGCAGACAACCGTGTTAATGCCTACATAGCACAGCGTGTGGTGATGAAGTTTTTTGTGAACAAAGGTGTAAAATTTGCAGATGTCCACAGAAGAGTTCAAGCACAGTACAGTGATGAGACACTCAGCCGCAGTAGGACATTTGAATGGTGTAAACATTTTAAAGATGGCTGTATGCATGTCAGTGTCGATCTTGGCCGTGGCAGTTCCTAGCCCACAGCAGTCATTCCTGTGAACATTCAGCACATAGAATGTCTGATCCTGGATAATCAACACATAACCTGCTGTTAAACTGCACGAGATGAATCTTTCTGTGGGAACGGTGAACACAATGATGACGAAGCAAAACAGGATGACCTAGGATGGTTCAGGCGTACTGACAAATCTTTCTATGCCGAAACTTTCCAAGCATTAGTTAAATGCTGGGATACATGTATAAATGTAGCAGGGGAGTATGTAAAAAAATAAATTCACAGTGGCTAAGTGGTTAACACTTCTGCCTAGCAGCTCTAGGGACATCAGTTCAATTCCCAAGCCCGGCCCGGAGTTTGCATGTTCTCCCAGTGCCTGTGTGGGTTTCCTCTGAGTACTCTGGTTTCCTCCCACACTCCAAAGACATGCTGGTAGGTTCATTGGCTTCTATCTAAATTGGCCTCAATATGTGTATGTATGAATGTGAGTTAGGGACCTTAGATTGTACGCTCCTTGAGGGTTAGGAACTGATGTGAATGTACAATATATGTAAAGCACAGTGTAAATTGACCGTGCTATATAAGTACCTGAAATAAATAAATGCAGTTTCCCCTTCTTGAAATTTGTTCTTTTATTATATAAACTCAGAAGTCACGGTTTGACTTAAATGCCCCTCGTATAATATTAATGTGTGTCTATCCCCTTCAATCCACCTTCCTGCTCCACCCCTGTGCTAACCCTCTTGCAGGTATACTCACAAACGAAAAAATCCCTATTGCTAAGAAAGATCAAAAAGCACTAGCGGATATTAATCCAGAAGTTCCCCTTTGAGAACACTTTATTTATACTGCTTTCCTCACTCCTCCCATCTCCAAAATTAAACATAAGGAAGGCAAGGAAAAACTGCATAGTGTAAAATACTTTTTAAGGTTAATTTCTGGGTTGCTTGTATTAAAAAGTTTGACAAAGTCTGCCATATAGGGTCCAATATAGCTCCATCTTGCAGTAATAATAACTTATTACTGATATTAACCACTTGCCCTCCAGAGGAATTACCCCCCTTCCAGAACAGGCCATTTTTTGCAATATGGCGCTATGTTACTTTGACTGACAATTGTGCGGTCATGCAATGCTGCACCTAAATGAAATGTATTTCCTTTGTTCCCACAAAATTTTCTTTCAGTGGCATTTGATGGACGGTTTTTATTTTTTGCACTATAAACAAAAAAATACCAACAATTTTGAAAAAAAAAACTCAATATTTTTGACTTTTTGCTATAAAAGATATCCAGTAAAAAATGTAAAAAATCTAATTTCATCATAAATTTAGGCCAAAATGTATTCTGCTGCATATCTTTGCTAAAAAAATCCCAATACATTTAAATTAATTGGTTTACGTGAAAGTTAAAGCATCTGCAAATGGTGGTATTGATAATGGAATATTTTATTTTTTTATACTAGCAATGGCGGTGATCAGCAACTTATAGAAGGCACTGCGGCGGGCAATCTGACACAGGAGGGAACTGACTAACTGCCACTGACATCCCTAGTAACACTAATACAGTGATCAGTGCTAATAAAAAGCACTGACACTGTACTGATGGCACTGGGTAGGAAGGGGTTAATATCTGGGGCGATCGAAGGGTTAACTGTGTGCTGTTTTACTATATGTGCTGTGTTTTACTAGGGAAACATAATGCTTTGTATTGCTCTGCTATGCAGAGCAATACAAAGCAGCATGTTGGTGCTGACAGGGGAGAGATCTGTATGTTTACATACAGACCTCTCCCCTGTCAGTGTTCCTCAGCGATCGCCGGGTGCCGGTGGGGAATCTCCGCCTGGGACCCAGTGATTGACAGCTGTAGCCACTAATAACAGCAT